CGAATGTGAAGTATTTCGGTTTTAGCCTACGTGGGCTTATGACTTCTGGTCATTTGAGCTTTACAGTAATGGCCACATATCTGAGCTCTGTCAGTCATACATATAGCTCAGTGGTAGAGCATTAGACTGCAGATCAAAAGGTCCCCAGTTCAAATATGGGTGCCTCTGTGGAGGCTATTTTCATGTAACATTAGAAAGACTGATTCTTATTATTACTTTATAAGCTTATTGTGCTCATTTATGTGGCTGTGACTTTGGAATAAATAGATTCAATCACCCCCCAAGTTTAGATGGGGAGGATAGGAACGAAGGGAAAAGTCACATGAGAAAGTGTTTAGCTTGCAATATTGAAAGTAGCAAGGTCAGGTGCAGAGACCGAGAGAATACAAAGAGGTAGTCAGAACAGCACATCGCACCGGCCTTGAGTTGTATGGGAGCCGCACTCCCACGCAAAGCTANCATTGGTAAAAAATGTATACATTATATATATATATATATTTCTATTAATCATTTTCGGCCTTTCGGCATTCGGTTTTCGGCCAACTGTTTCCTATTTTCGGTATCGGTTTCGGCCAAGAATTTCCCATTCGGTGCACCCCTAATAAATATATACAATTTCAGAATCAAACAGAGCACTCTCATAATAACACAACACAATCAGAGACTGGATATATCCCCCCCCCTCTGGTCGCTACAATGAGGAAATTGAAATTACGGGCCAAAAGTTTTATTTACAAGTATTAAAAGTAAGCAGAGGACACCAAACCAACTGAGACCCGTCTGTCCGCCGCATCTACGCACTGTACAACACACACACACACACACACACACACACACACACACACACACCTACACACTGTACCACACACACCTACAGCCCCAAAGCATATAATCAGGCTACAGCCGTTGTGTGTTTTATTATGTGAAGCACTAAAGGGTTTTAGAAAAATATCGACTCTTTGTTTGTAGATATCTACTAAACTACAGCAAATAAAGAGAGTAGGCCTGTTATACTGAGTGATCTATATTATACACACTGCTCTGCTTTCTGCACGGACCTCACAGCTGTTCTCACTGTAAACATCGCGTCGCCACGACTCTTTGAAACATCTCTGTTCCCGGAAATGCATCTACGAAGGAGCCGTGGAGGACCCATCAGTGTATCCTCGGTTAGAGCTCCTCCAGAGAGCCTCCTCGACGCTCGATCCTCGAAGTGCATTAAGAGAAATGAGATGTCCTTCAACATGGCGCGCTGAAATTCATTTCCGGGTCACTACCGGAGGACCGAGGAGTCGAGGAGGGGGATTTGATGAAATGAGAAAGGGCCCCTGACTGGTTGCTCCTCGCATATTGTGGATCAACGTCCCTCAATGTTTCTACACAAGGGGTGGGGTATGCATTTCAGTTGGGGAAATGCTAGGGTTGAGGGTGTGCCTGTTCTGGGGTGTGTTCGCGTGTGTATGTGTTTTGTTTTGGGGGAGGAGGGGGGTCACTTGCACCATATTAATTATTTTGTAAAAGTATTTACAGTTTCGTTGCTTTATAATGCTGAGATGAATGTCTATGGAGAGAACAAGTCAGGGCAGTAGTTTGGATATTAAAGTCACAAACTGAATGTCCGGGGAATGAGAAAATAAAATTGGCTAAATTGAAGCAAGTTTTAAACAGGGTAAAACATCTTAAATCTAAAATAGTCTTTCTACAGGAGACACATTTACTCGCTGCAGATGTTCACTATTTGAGCAAAAGGTGGCCAGGCCAAGTATGTTAGTACTTATGCACGAGGTGTGGCTATCCTTGTGCACAAATCGATACCATTTCAACTTATAAAAACTATCCAAGACCCACATGGAAGGTATATTATTGTCCAATGCAATTCATTTTATAAGTGTCTATGGCCCGAATGAGGATAACGTCTTTTTGAAAGATTGTTTCTAACTCTGTCTGCTTTGGAGGGACTTTATATTATAGGAGGAGACTTTAATTGTGCTCTTGATCCACTCCTTGATAGATCTACACAGGTTGATATGACTCATGTGCAAACAAGGAAAACACTGCTTAGATATATGAAGGATATAAGGTTAAGTGAAGTTTGGAGGAACTTGAACCCGGATAAGAGGGAATTTTCTTGCTATTCAAGCTCATATAAAACTCATTCACGCATTGATTATTTTTTTTACTTTGTGGAACTTCTTTCCAAGGTCAAAAGTTGTGGTTACAGTAGTATTGTAATAAGTGACCACGCAACAGTGTTTATCGAGATCAATTTAGGCAAGTTTGAACGTCACGCAAGATGGAGGTTTTAGAGTTCTTAGACCCTCGCAAGAAAACTGTTTTCTAAAATATGTATAGTTTGCCGAAATGTTCAAAAACTTTACAATTTTTAGATACATTGGCAGCCAGCCACGAAATGAGACAATATAATGGACTATCGAGTGTGTTCCAGCGATAACAGTACTGATAGATAAAAACGAACAGTACGTAGACTGTCTCTTTGACATCGGGACAGTTCCTTTAACGGACTCGAGGGACCTAAAGACAAATTGATAAATATTTCGAGATGTTAATAATACATAGAGAAAACCCGTGTCCTTCAACGGTCTATGACTAAATTATGTAACCTAATAAGAAAGCGACGTAAAAGAAATGGGGTCCGGTCATTCACATGGACCGAAAGGGGAGACTAGCATCTATAAACAAATTCAGGTGTAATCCGAAAAATCGGTGGCGTGAACATTGAATAGCATTGTCGGTAGTACTCTAGCTAGTCATTAAAGTACTATTAAACACTGTCATGAAAGTCAGGAGACGAAGAATTAAACAAAAGATTATAAACATTAGAACTAATACGACGAATCAAATCTTCACATTTTGATATTAAAGAGGGAGATATATTCGGAAATTTACGAGGGTAGATTACGACCGACTCAAAGTAGCATTAAATAAGTTTTATTCACAAGTTAACGTTTGAAAGGTGTTTACATTGTTTCAGACCAGAACTTCATANCTAACTCTGTCTGCTTTGGAGGGACTTTATATTATAGGAGGAGACTTTAAGAGTCATATCAACCTGTGTAGATCTATCAAGGAGTGGATCAAGAGCACAATTAAAGTCTCCTCCTATAATATAAAGTCCCTCCAAAGCAGACAGAGTTAGAAACAATCTTTCAAAGAATGAGGGGGTTATCCTCATTCGGGCCATAGTCACTTATACAATAAAAATGTTGTGACAAAATATTGCCTTGGACAATAATATACCTTCCATGTGGGTCTTGGATAGTTTTTATAAGTTGAAATGGTATCGATTTGTGTACAAGGGTAACCACACCTCGTGCATAAGTACTATGGGAAGAATAAATTACTTGGCCTGGCCACCTTTTGCTGTTAGATTTTAGATTTAAGATATTTTACCCTGTTTAAAACTTGCTTCAATTTAGCCAATTTTCTGATTCCCCGGATGTTCCAGCTTGTAACTTTAATATCCAAACTACTGCTCTGACTTGCTCTCTCCATAGACATTCATCTCAGCATTATAAAGAAACCAAACTGTAAATATTTTTACAAAATGATTAATATGGTGCAAGTGACCTCCCCCCAAACGAGACACATACACACGCACACACAAACACACCCCAGAACAGGCACACCCTCAACCCTAGCATTTCCCCAACTGAAATGCTAACCCCACCCCTTGTGTAGAAACATTGAGGGACGTTGATCCACAATATGCGAGGAGCAACCAGTAACTCGACCCAAGCTCACAAAATAAAACAAAAAATCGGTGCCCAACAACCACACATTAAACCTTGTCAAGTAATATATCCCTTCAGGACATAACACAATACCATCTAAACATATTAAAACAATATCTGCTGGTCTAATAAAACATACAAAAAGATATGAACACAATGCCATCCTTAATATATCGGTCTACTCTCGAACAGAATTATATTTCAATGGGCTTTCTCTTAAGAAGGAGAGAGAGGAATAAAAGAAACCTCCATACACGCGTATAAAGACAATGTAAATGTTTGCAACTGTAACTCAACTCACAATGCCTGATATCTTCCGATGCAATCTCAAGCTCATTGTGGCCGTGTGATTCCCACACAACACACACCAGAGGCTATTGTTTGATGCTTTTGTAGAACTTTTCGGCTTCTTGTGGCGTTGTGAAGAGATGAATCTTGCCGTTGTGTAGCACTCTGAGTTTATCTAAATGATCTCTAATGTAATTGTATAAGTATCAATTGATCCTCTACTGTTGAGTTAACTGCAAACTATCAGAATGGTTGTCTACATTTTTGCTTTTGATCAAAATACCATTTGCCAAATGTTGGGTTATTACATTTGATTAATTTTCCTGACTGACATGTTGATTTGTAGGTAACACATGCACGCAGATCAGTTTGGTTTGACCACTGTTGAAACCATTAGGTTTAAGGCCTTCCATGGGGTATATTTGAGGAGATTTGTTATGAATAAAAAAAAGATTCTGACGCAAGGTGTTCGCTCTCAAGACATCTACGCTTCATGGTGTCGTCTAACCTTAAATATATTTTTGACTGGTTAATACGACTATTGTATGCCAATACTGTGTGTTGTGGAAGTCATTAGTACTGCTTTTATCATAAAATATCTATACAAGTATTTAAGTTATTTTTATGTGGCCTTTAAATGTCTTATATTAAACTTGCTGAACCGCAGTGTGAAGCAGATTATTTTTATCATCAACAGCTGATACTAGGCTGTGATGTGATCAGTTCTCAAGCATACACAGAGAGGGAACAAGGAGTTGAACAAAGCAAACACGCCCTGAAGAGAAACCTGACTAGGACGTACAGGTGGTGATGGTGTGTCAGTGAAGCATGTGAGCGATGCATGACACACTGAATCTTTCACGATGGTATGTTAGGGATGGTATGGTGATCTGGGGGGCATGATGTCCATGTTGGGCTTCCTGTGGTGTTATGGTGTCCTCCTGTGTGATCTGCTCCTACCTGGTAGGTGTTATTGAGGAAGTGAACAGGCACGCTGAAGGGGTAAGGAGTGATGGTTGGGGTTCTCAGGGGATGACAGGATTCTCCATTCGGGACGGCCTGCCTGCCTCTCTCCTTCCTGCTGCGTCCATCTCCATGGAGCGTTGGCAGTACACGGCATTCTTCCCCGCCTCCGTCCTGGGGAGACTGTGGTTATATACTGTGGACTGCCCTTTTACAACAGTCCATTACAAATGTTTGTGCTATTATCCCCATTTTGTTTTCATAAATGAAAATTGAACAATTGAAGCCGGTAATTTTTTTTCTAAGTGTATAAGGAAGAAGATGTTTTAACTTTAAGATGAAGAGATTTTATTAATACAATTAATCATGGAGCCCAAGCTTCTTTAATTTGTATGGTTGTGTATAAAAAATAACATAGAAAAGATGTTTTGCAAAATCTATTGGATTTTAGCACTTTCATGGAAAAATGTTAATAGACCAAGTTATTGTAAAAATGTTATATTTTTTATAATATTTTATTTTTTACTTTTTTTCTACTTTTCATGTGTTCTTATTTGATTTGATTGTTTTAGTTTTGAATATTGTTTAGTTATTTTTATAATTTTACTATATATGCTGTTATTAATTAGGTGTGTGTTTGTATTTGATTATGGTGGGTGCCCCTTTGTTTGAGTCACTTTAAGGTCTGACATAAATGATCATAATATAAATAACTATATTTTCACTTGAATCAAGTTGTGGTTTGGCACTGCAAGAGCTTCACAGAGTGAGTTGCTGATTATAAAAGGGGCCTGAAAAAGTATTTAACCAACAAAGAAAAAAGAACAAAGGCACTCATTGGATAATCGATTTC